GGCAGGGAGGGATCAGATGAAAAAGTGTCATCCTTCACCTAGAGCAAGAGAGGAAACTAATTAAAGTAACTGAATGCACTGGAACTCTAATGCCTCTAATGCCTATCTGTGTCTGTTATTAAAAGAAAAGGTCATTGCTCTGTCTATTTTTGGTTATTTTCATTTCGTCCTCTGTGTCAAGTTTTCCATGTCACCACTGTCCCTTGGTTAGAGGCTCTTTGTTAAATGCCCAGCGTTTGGAGGGTGCACACTGCTCAGATGGAGACTGAGAGAGCAGTCAGTACCTCTTTATGCTCACAGCCTCTCCACAACTCCATCACATGGACGAACACAGTGACCCATGTTTCAGAATCGCTCCCCATTAACTTCAGAGCTGCAGCAGGTCAGCACAAACATGCTGATTATCTCACCCTGCCATCTCTCCGCTGCGCTGCGCTACACTGCACTGCACTCCACTCCACTCTACTCACTTGTGAAGTAAAACTGTGGTGGATGCTCACTGTGCACCATGGAGGCTGTGGCTCTCTTCTCTTTCACAGCATCAGAGGCAGATGAGATCAGCTTCCAGAAAGGAGACATCATCAAGGTAAGAATGGAGACATGCTGCATATCTCTGCATATTTGAATGTTTTTTCTACATCTTCACATGGAGTAACGGAGGGTTGTGGATTTGCACTGTAGGTGGTAGAAATGGAGGAAGACTCTTTCTGGTTCACAGCTGAGATTGAGGGGAAACGTGGATTCATACCTAAGAACTACATCTCTCTGCACCCTCATCTGTAAATAATCTATTATCCAAATTGTGTTAATAAGAAACACTAATTTTTTCTGATGATTTTCTAGATTTGATGTGTCACAGCCATCACTTTTCACTAAAACTAAACATGATTTAGCTAAGAATCATCTGCAGTTAAGTTAATAGTTTCTGTTTGTTTCTTTAGCTGGTTTGCAGGAGCAATATCAAGACTGGAGGCTGAACAACGACTGTGCTGGCAGGATACTGGAGTGTTTCTAGTGAGGGAAAGTGAATCAGCTCCAGGAGAGCTCTCTCTCTCTGTTAGGTAAGTGAATGCACCACACCTTTAAACACTCTTTCTCTTCAGTTAAGGCTAACTCAAAGGGAGTAGTGCTAAAATAGTTCTATGTCATTGTTTTTATGTTTTTCTTCCAAAAAGACAGAATTTATTAACTAGGCCCAAGCAGCGAAGCACTGTGAAGGCCTATTGTAATCGCAAGATTTCTTATTTTTCCAACAAAGCACGCAGCTTTTTGGAGCCTTAAACATATTCAAAAACTCACCAAACGTCACCCAAAATTGTTGCCGCCATGACAGGCACCGACAACCTTGTGGCCACAGCTCCGATAAGTCGCCTCGACAATGGAGGCACGGAACATGGCCCACTCAGACTCAATGTCCTCCTCCTCCCCCGGAATGTGTTCAAAGTTCTGGTGGAGGTGGGAGTTAAAGCTCCGTCTCACAGGAGACTCTGCCAGACGTTCCCAGCAGACCCTCACAACACGTTTGGGCCTGCCAGGTCTGACCGTCATCCTCCCCCACCACTGGAGCCAACTCACCACCAGGTAGTGGACAGCTCCACACCTCTCTTCACCCGAGTGTCCAAGACATACGGCCGCAGATCCGATGAAACGACAAAATCGATCATCGAAATGCGGCCTAGGGTGTCCTGGTGCCAAGTGCACATATGGACACCCTTATGCCTGAACATGGTGTTCGTTATGGACAATCCTTGATGAGCACAGAAGTCCAACAACAGAACACCACTCGAGTTCAGATCGTGGGGGCCGTTCCTCCCAACCACGCCCCTCCAGGTCTCACTGTCATTGCCCACATGAGTGTTGAAGTTCCCCCAGCAGAACAAGGGAGTTCCCAGGAGGGGCACTCTCCAGTACCCCCTCTAAGGACTCCAAGATAAAGAAGGGTGAGTAATCTGAACTGTTGTTCGGCCCATAAGCACAAACAACAGTCAGAACCCGTCCCCCCACCCGTAGGCGGAGGGAGGCTACCCTTTTGTTCACCGGGGCAAAACCCCAACGTACAGGCACCGAGATGGGGGGAAACAAGTATGCCCACTCCTGCCCGGCGACTTTCACTGTGGACAACTTCAGAGTGGAAGTATGTCCAGCCCCTCTCAAGGAGACTGGTTCCAGAACCAGAGCCATACGTCGAGGTGAGACCAACTATTTCTAGCCGGATCCTTGACAGGTTCCGGCTAGAACCACACACCAGTTCCGGCTCCTTCCCCACCAAAGAGGTGACATTCCATGTCCCAAGAGCCAGCTTCAGCAGCTGAGGACCGGACTACCAGGGCTCCCTTCCTCTACCACCTCCCATCACACACTGCACCCAAAAAATATATTGTGTAACATTAAAACATGCCTGGTTGCAACTGCATTGATGGGAGCTCTTCTTCTCCTCAGTGTTTGTTAGCTTATTGGCGCAGCTCCGCGCTCCTGCTACTGGTAGCTTCACCGCATCAATTCAGCGTTACACCGGTTGATGACGTTGCTGTTATTCACTTGTCTGGTGTCTGATTTTTCAAATATTTTATGTTTTATTGAGGATTTTTGTGCATATGTTTTGGCAGTGCTGTAGGGTTGCCACCTTTCAGAAATAAAAATAAGGGACGCCCTTATTTTTAAAGACTAAAAAAACAAACTTCAGCTTCGTTGTTTTTTTTCTTCGCTGCTCTCTGCTTCATGCTGTCACGGTTGCTAGGCAACATGAGTTACGCTGAGGTGGCAGCGGGGACTGTTGGTGAAGGGTAGACCTGTCCAAATTCACAGCTTTTCTCTTCCGGTCTTAGTTTATTCATGGCTTTGGAAGGACCCGGTCTATGCAGACCGATCCTTTGAAGGATGCAGACCTTGAATGTGGACACAGCTTCTGATTTTTTCTTGATTTGATTTTGGCTTGTTTTTTCCTAATAACATCACCATGGTTACTTGAAATGTCAACAGATGTAATAGTACACTTTATGAGATCAAGCCGCACATTTTGATATATATTGTGAGGGTGCACACTGCAGTTCGGGCCACATTAAAGGTAAAAGAAAGCAGCAGTTTATTTTAGGTGAAGAACAATAGTGCAAGGTTCTCCTATGCATTACTATGGCAGGCCCCAATAAAAAAAAATGTTTGGTTTACTTCAGGCTTTAATTAGAGGCCTGAGCCTCTAATTAAAGTTAATCAGTCGGATTGGATGGAGCTCAGACATGTCTATGGGTTCGGTCCAGGTCGAGTTGTATTTTTTAGGTTGTATTTTTATTTATTTATCTATTTTTTAAGAAGCTGAGTACAGAGACCTGGTGAACCACTTTGTGTCATAGTGTGGGAACAATCATCTCAACTTGAATGCA